ACTAGACCATTGGGATAAAAGGGCTTATTTCAGTGGCGGGTCAGTGCGCCCATAACCCCCCAGGCGAACGCGCCTGTAACCCTCTCCAGGATCAATCGGGCATCCACAGTGCAGATCTACTGACAGCCTGGTGTCTGTCGATCTGCAAGGTGCCGAACGAATTGAACCCACACTTCAATCGGTGCGTCACATTTGCAGACGAACAACAAGGTCTCCAGTAGAGCGATGACCCTTACGCGCTGGATGTCTCCGACCTTTGGACAGTCGACGATGCGCTGCTGGTTCTCAGCCGCCTGCTCCGCCTGGGCCTGTCTCTTAACGGACCGTTTGTGCTTCCTGGAGCTTTGATGCGTGCGGAACGCCTGGGTTTGGACGTTGACGGCTCCTTCGCCAGCAGCGCCGTAGTTTGTGCCGTGTCCTGCGTGCTTGATACACAAACCGCACCTCACTGATGGGAAACCGAACGAAGTTTGACAAAGCACGAGCCACGGGAAACCAGTTGACCATTCCCGTTTGTACTTCATAAGCGCCTCCTGGTATTTATCCTTTGCCTCATCGCGAAGTTCCTCAGCAGATGAAGATGCTGCAGGAACGGCCGATGGTCCTGGAAGAGCTGGCTCTAAGCGGATACGTACGGTGGGTTCCGTAGGACTTTCGCGAGAGAACGACAAGCGCGACTGTTTGTGTTTGGTTGCTCTTAATTTAGCAGTAGCGGCAGGGCCGATGCGTGTCGCACCAGGTGGTACAACGTTGGTGCCGTTCGTACTAGCACGGGCGGCTGTGACTGCGGGAGTTCGAGATGAACCAGCTGCAGGTGAGGGTGTTGGTAACGTGGACACAACCCGAATAGGACGCAGGAAGTCTAATCCCGTTAGACCCCGTGATACTGGCGTCGCGCCATCGTACTGCATGAGAAAAATGAAACGAGAATGAATGAACTATGAATGAAGTGGGTACAAGTACTAACCCTAATTGGGTTGTACCCCCTATGGGATACCCCACTACAGCCTACACAAAAACATAAGTTATAATGTTCTGACAGCCATGACTAGTCCGACTGAGCCAGCCGAGCTTCACTTGTGCTACTCTAACAGCAACACTGGAAGAGTGTTGGTTGGATAGAGGAGTTCTCAACGTCAGCGAGAGAGACACACACGACGAGTCGCCTTGCCCAACCTGTTTCCAGTCTGATGGGTTTGGCTTGGCTAGTGCTTTGCGGGGGGGGTCGGAACTGAACTCTCAAAGACATCATGCGAATGCGGGAAACATACACGGGGAAAAAAATCAATGGAGACAAAAAACCTCGGGGAAAAAACTCCCCGTACCCCCCCCCCCCCCCTAAAAAACGCGTCAGGGTAGGCCTCGGTATTCATCCTGACGTTACAGGGGGGAACATTATGGCCATCCTGAGTGTTTAGGGCATTTAATATAAAGACATCCTGAGGCCTCAGGGTGAAAACTGTCATTATTCTGAAATGGCAGGGTAAATACAAAATTGCATCCTGAATTCAGAGTAATCAGGATGTTTTGCCCTGATAACTTGGGCCCTGGTGAACTGTCAGCTGTCTGCTGGTATGTCTATTTTCTTCATAAACACTTCATCTGGGCACCTTATCAAGAATGACTCTAAAGCGTTTGCAAACAGTAAAGGACCTGCGGCTTGGCGCTCACTTCGCCGCATCTTTCGCTGCCTCCAGGTTCTTGCCCTGACTGCGGGGACAGTCCGTGCACAGTAACGTCTCCGCCCTATTTCCCCGCATGCGCATTCCCCTTTCACTCGCGCAACGGACTGCGCCGGGGCGCTGTCGCTCAAATCTGAAGGGGCGCTTGACTGACGGCGGATCACTGTACAGCCACTCTTCCCGCGCTCTTCCTCAACCGCAATAGGATGTAGTTGAAACGAAGGGGAGGAAAAGATCGACGACCACGATGAAGGATCGAACGATGATGCACATGCAAATTTGGGATGGATGGTGTCGATTGTTCAAGCACAGCCCATCCCATTGCAAGTGCGTTTTGTTCCCGTCCCACCCACCTGCTCGCTGGGCAATACAGTGAGATCTTCAGAGCTAGCTGAAACACTCCCTGTTCGTGGACAGTCCCCTTTTTTTCCATCCACCTATAGTCGCTCCGCGTGTAGAATCAATAACATCATCCGCCATCTCCATCACTCGCGTCAACTCTGCTGTCGTTGAACTAATATTTCCACTGAATGCTTTCTAGCGCTTGCTCCTCCTGCCTTACTCGTGGTGATAACCCGAGGCCGAAGGGCGAGTTGTCACTTTAGTAATTGCCGAAGAAAAAAGAGAGCAGTCGGCAGCAGGCGTAGTAGAGGAGTTTAAATAGGCTCTTCAATACCTGGGCTCGTCCAGAACCAGCTCGAATATCTGATGGCCGTTCGTCCAGAAGCCAGAAGCTTCAGGCAATGACACCACGTAAACCTAGCACCTCCGAATCAATGCGAGTGTCATCATCACCTGAAGTAAACAGCGTTCAATAATGGTGACGACGCCGTGCGCATCGCCTCGAGCTAGTACGCCTCATCCTGCTCCGAGGCTGGCGACGTCTCGCCGCGCGACGAAACTTCGATTCGAGCGAAACGGATTGACGCATCCTGCCGACGCCGCAATGCAATGTATCGCGTGCCAAGTAGTGCACACGCGCCTGCTGCTGCTCATCCTGCTCATGCTGCTGTCTGCAGCACGCGGGATCACCGCCCGAGGGATCACCGCCCGAGCACCGCGCTTTTCCGACTCGTTACAATCTTCCACGATTGAAGCACCTACACAACCAACCTCGCTGAGTTCCGTTTATCCCATACGTTTTCAACCAGAATCGACTGATCTCGATAATAGTCCATCTTACCCAGCAGATTCTCAAAGCGTTGACCAGACAGCACCGTTGATAGTACCTGCCGTGTTGCCTAGACTGATCGTCAGACGACGCAAGGATTCGAAACCACGCCTGGAGAATGCGGATGGAGCAACGGATTCGCGTGCTAATGGCGGCTTGAGGAGCAGCAGGATTCTAAACTCAGACGCGAGTCATATGCGAGTGGCGAGAGAGAGTAAGGTCTGCCATTTCCAACCCGCAATGCTCGCTGAATGTGCCAGCGAGGCTCGTAGACTCGTACTGTGTCGTCAAGGTTGCCACAGTGCCAAGCTGCAGCTGAAGCGCGTTCTTTCGATGTAAATCGTGCTGCTGCTGCTGATGCTGATGCTGATGCTGCTGCTGCTGCTCCCTCTGTGTCCGTAGATTTCAGTTACTGAAACGTATCTAAGCTTGCTGCGTTCTTTGTTAGAGTCAATTCTGAGAATTCTCAAACGTGTCTCTGCGTTCCGAATGCCTTTTTCTCTCTACCACTGGCTCCTTTCCGTCCACATCTCGTTCCGTGCCCTCAACGCATCTTCGTTTCGCCCTGTCCTCTCCTTCCATGTTGTTCGTGTTGAAGGCAGAAGGTGACAGCCGCCTGAGCAACAGCAGCAATGGAAACGGAAATAGCAGCAGCAGCAGCAGCAGCAGCAGCATAAACGGTAGCGACGGCAACGGCAACAGCAGCAACGGGAACAGCAGCAGGAGCAGCGAGAGCAAGAGTGACAAAATAAACGCTACCAGCAGCAGCAACGGGAACAGTAACAGCAGAAGCAGCAGGAACAGCAGCAGTAGCAGTGAGAAGAGCAATGAGTCTTGGATTGCCAGCAGTAGCGACGTGAGTAACAGTCGCGGAAACACCACTGCTACCACAAGCAACAGAAACAATGGCAGCAACAGTACTGCTATTACGAGCAACAGCACCAGCAGCACTGATAGCACAAGCAGCAACAGTAGCAGCACCAACAGCAGCAGCAGCAACACCACCACCAGTAGCAGCAACACCAGTGACAGCAGCAACAGCAGCAACAGCAGCAGCAACAACAGCACCAGCACCACCAACATTGAGCCCACCGCTCTCTCCCCCACCAGTCGTGCCATCCTCATCTCAGCCCTCACCCTCTCCCTCTCTCTCGCCCTCATCACCGCTCTAGCCGCCTCCACCATGGCTCTCCTGCTCTACCGCCGCCTCCCGCCCAATCCCCACACGCCACGTGGCGGCTTCTCAGTGGTCGCAGCACATGGTTCGAGTGACGATGGAGGGAGTGAGAGTGACAGCATCAGCAACAGCAATAGCTGTAGCATTGGGAGTGGGAGCAGCCGCGGGGTTAGTGGCCGGGGTGGTTTACCCAGCCCGTTCAGGGGTGGTTTACCCAGTCCTTTTGGGGGTAGAAGGGAGAAGAGGCGGCCTCTAGGAGAGCAGTTGGAGGAGGGTGAGGGGGGAGGCTGGGGAGATAACTTAGATCAAGCAGAGATTGCTGCTGCTGGTACCAGCGCTGCTGCCGCTGCTCGTCCTTTTGCTACTGCTGCTGGTAATGGTGGTGGTGGCGCTGCTGCTGCTGCTGGGGGCCGTGCAGGGGGTGCAGTGGCAGAGAGTGAGGGGGAGGAGGCGTCGTTTGACATTCAAAAGGTGGTGGAATTCACCCTTGCGGACCTCGTAGCTGCCACTGACAGTTTTGCAGACAAGAACCACCTGGGGCAGGGCAGCTACGGCAATGTGAGTGGTGCTGTGTGGTATGGCATGGTATGGCATGGCATGGCGTGGCATGGCATGGCATGGCATGTCATGGCATGGCATGGCACGGCATGAGATGCTGGCATAGCTGACAAGAACCACCTGGGCCAGGGCGCCTATGGCAATGTGAGTGGTGACTGTGGGATGGGATGGGCTGGGATGGGATGGGCTGGGATCGGATGGCATGGCACGGCGGCTGTGCTGTCAGCAACCACCTTGGCCAGGGCAGCTGCGGCAATATGAATGGTGCAACTGGACAGGGCGCGTTCGTTCAGATCGGGTCGGTTCGGGTCGGGTGGGTGGGTGATGCTATGGGATAGTGGGAGTGCATGACATGGCGAGGTGGCTGTTTTCATGTCTGCTATGAGATTGATTGGCCCTCATCAGGTATTCCATGATTCAGAAGGGTGATGCGAGTGTGACGCTTCTGCTGCGTCTTCCCACCTCCCTTTCTTGCCTGCTTCCCTGCTGCACCAATCACGGGGCGGCAGGTGTACCGAGGGAGGCTCAAGTCGGGAGAGGTGGTGGCGGTGAAACGAGCCAAGGCGGAGCGACGGCAGGACATGCGCAAGTTCAAGAAGGAGGTGCGATGGAGTGAGGTGGAGTGAGGTGGAATGAGGCGGACTATTTGAGAGAGATGGGTGGTGGTAGCGATGCGTTTTTTAAGACGTCTCAATAACTCCCTTGTATCACGCAGAGATGGGTGGTGGTGGTGGTGCAACGAGCCTCAGTCAAGAGAGGAGCGATGATCTGATCTGATCTGATCTGATCTGATTTGAGCAAGGTCACGCAAGAGCTGCTGCTGTGCCACTGCTCCCACTCGCACTCCCTTCTCCTTTTGAGGCACCTCAAAAGCCTCACGCCAATAGCTGCTGCTGCTGTGCCAAGAACTTCAAAAGCTCACGCAAGAGTTGCAGGTGGTTTGTACGAGTTTATAAGGAGGGAAAGGAAACTTCCCCCCCCCACAAAACCTCAGCTCCCCCTCCTCGTTTCTCTTCTCCCCCATCACCCATCTTTCTTTCTACCCCCCCTCCCCTCCCCCCTTATCAAGTGAAGCTGCTGTCTCGAGCAAAGCACAAGCATTTGGTGCAGCTGTTGGGGTGTTGCCGGGAGGCACAGGAGAAGCAGGTGGTGGGTATGAGGTCATAAGGGAGGGATAAAGGGGGAGAGAGGATACCCCCTCACAGATCCTTAAATTCCGTCCTCCTTTCCCTTTTCCTCCTCATCCACCCTTTTGAGGAGCCTCAGAAGCTCTTTTGGGGCGCCTCAAGAGGAGGGAAAAGAGAGGATACCCCCTCACAGACCCTTACCTCCCTTCCTCCTTTCCCTTTTCCTCCTCATCCACCCTTCCAGTATATTGCGGGGAGGAGCAGGAGCAGCTTCTGGTGTACGAGTTCATAGGCGGGGGAGAGAGGTGGGGAGAGACCCCCCCTGCTGCCTACCTGCAGAACCTCAACTCCCTTTCTCCTTTCCCCCTTTTTCCCCGCACCCACCCTCCCAATCCACCCCCCCCCCCTCTGTGTCAGGTGATGCTGCTGTCTCGAGCGCGCCACAAGCATCTGGTGCAGCTGCTGGGGAATTGCCGGGAGGACCAGGAGCAGCTTCTGGTCTACGAGTTCATAGGCGGGTGGGGGATAGAGGAGACACCCTCGCTCAGAATCTCAAATTCCCCTCCTCCTTTCCCTCCCCTTCCCCGTCACCCATGCTTCCACTGCCCCCTCTGCCAGGTTATGCTTCTATCCAGGGCGCATCACAAGCATCTGTTGCAGCTGCTGGTGTACGAGTTCATAGGCGGGGGAAAGGGGTGGAACCCCCCTGCTACACACAGAACCTCAACCTCCTCTTCTTTCCCTCGTTCCCCCTCACCCACCCTTTCAACCCTCCCCTCCCATCTTCCCCTCTGCCAGGTGATGCTGCTCTCCAGGGCGCGCCACAAGCATCTGGTGCAGCTGCTGGGGTATTGCCGGGAGGAGCAGGAGCAGCTGCTGGTCTACGAGTTCATAGGCGGGGGAACCCTCTCTCACAACCTCAATGCGCCCTGGCGAGCCAGACAAAACAAGCCGCCCCTCAACTGGACCGAGCGGCTGCTGGTGGCGGCAGGCACGGCGCGCGCGCTGGCGTACCTGCATGATGACGTCAGCATGCCCTTCATCCACCGGGATGTGAAGGTGGGAGATTGGATTGGATTGGATTGGATTGGATTGGATTGGATTGGATTGGGTTTGATAGGTTTGGGTTGGATTGGATGATGACTTCATGAGGAGCTGATGTCACAATGGGTTATGCTGATGTCATCAGAGAGAGAGGTCCAGAGAGCAGTATTAGCTTGGCTGTAATCATGTACTGTCATATTTCGTTCCTTCCTTGGATTAGGATTCCTGCGAGTTAAGGGGTTTCTTGTACTACTTTGATTTCTGGGAAAGTTTTTTTACAGTTTCGTTCCTTACAGTTTCTTAAGTGTTCCGATATGAGTTTGGATGCTTGGCTGTAATCGTGTACTCTCATATTTCGTTCCTTCCTTCCAGCCTAGTCGGTAACAGCCTCTTGGATTGGCACGTGGTGGCAAAGCACTTCATCTCTCTCCATGTCTATGCTTTCTTTCACCATCACTGTGCACCACTCTGCATCACTCTGCACCGCTCTGCACTGCTCCGCACAGCCCGGCAACATCCTCTTGGATCGACATGTGGTGGCGAAGCTGGCAGACTTTGGAACGTCAAGAGCCGTGGACACATCGTCGTATTCTGCAACCATCCAGGGCACTGCGGTGAGCATGGGTGTATTTCCGTGTGTGTATATAACACGTGCATCTATCACACACCGCACATGCACGTCAAGAGCCGTGGACACATCGTCGTATTCTGCGACCATCCAGGGCACTGCGGTGAGCATGGGGGTATTTCCGTGTGTGTATATAACACGTGCATCTATCACGCACCGCACATGCACGTCAAGAGCCGTGGACACATCGTCGTATTCTGCGACCATCCAGGGCACTGCGGTGAGTGGCACAGGCTGAGGAGCATAAAATGTGCATGTAAGGTGTGCATGTAAGGTGTGCATGTAAGGTGTGCATGTAAGGTGTGCATGTAAGGTGTGCATGTAAGGTGTGCATGTAAGGTGTGCATGTAAGGTGTGCATGTAAGGTGTGCATGTAAGGTGTGCATGTAAGGTGTGCATGCAACACACGCATGTGCACACACGTCGCCGATACTCTGCAACCATATCGGGCACTGTGGTGTATCGCCGATACACAAAAGCATGTATGCACATGTTTGTGTCAGGAGCTTTGAACCTCCCTGAATCAAGTAAGACGGCTTTGTGCCATGAGCATTGTCAGGAGCTCTGGACCTCACTGTATCCTTCTGACTTTTGAGTCGACTCAAATGCCACCTTTTGAGTCGACTCAAATGCCACCTTTTGAGTCGACTCAAATGCCACCTTTTGAGTCGACTCAAATGTCAGGAGCTCTGGACCGCACTGTATCCTTCTTTATTTCACACAAACAGGCATTGTCACTGCGACCCCTATATCCTACCTAAAGACCTGAGTATGCTAGAGGCAGTGTATGGTGTATGTCTTGTCCGCTCATGTCCCTACTCCCCCTCACATAAACTCGCAGGGCTACTGTGACCTGGATTAACTTTAGGAAGGCAGCTATCGAAGCGCATAGACGTGTACAGCCATGGGCTCACATCCCGTGCTCCCCACTACAGTACAGCCTTGGCCTCATGCTGCTGGAGCTCTCCCGCTAGGCCTGTCCTTTCCCTTGTTCTCCCACCAACCTGTTCTCCCACCACCCTGTTCTCCCACCACCCTGTTCTCCCACCAACCTGTTCTCCCACCAACCTGTTCTCCCACCAACCTGTTCTCCCACCAACCTGTTCTCCCACCGCCCTCACCACCTAACAGGGCTACTGCGACCCGGATTACTTGAAGGCGTGGCAGCCATCGAAGCGCATAGACGTGTACAGCTTTGGCATCGGGCAATTAGAGCTCCTTCCCTTCACCTCGCCTCGTTCTCACCTCGGTCGTCCCCTGTTCTCCCACCCCCCACACAACCCGCAGGGCTACTGCGACCCCGACTACCTCAAATCAGGGCAGCCATCGAAGCGCATAGACGTGTACAGCTTTGGCATCGTGCTGCTGGAGCTCATCACTGGCAAGTCGCCTAGAGGCATCTCCAGGCCGTACCGCTTTCACGTGAGTGGGAGCATGATGCTGCTTTTCTTTCTTTCTTTCTTTCTTTCTTTCTTTCTTTCTTTCTTTCTTTCTTTCTTTCTTTCTTTCTTTCTTTCTTTCTTTCTTTCTTTCTTTCTTTCTTTCTTTCTTTCTTTCTTTCTTTCTTTCTTTCTTTCTTTCTTTCTTTCTTTCTTTCTTTCTTTCTTTCTTTCTTTCTTTCTTTCTTTCTTTCTTTCTTTCTTTCTTTCTTTCTTTCTTTCTTTCTTTCTTTCTTTCTTTCTTTCTTTCTTTCTTTCTTTCTTTCTTTCTTTCTTTCTTTCTTTCTTCTTTTGAAGGATATGTCACATTCAAGTGAATGGGCATAAAGTTTCCAGTCTGTCTCCTTCTCTTTATCTCCTTTCCAAATGCACTTTTTCTTGAGTACATTCCCTTGCACGTAATAATGGGACTCTATGTGTGGCATTTTACCATGTTCGGATTCAAACTCGGATAAGCTTCCTCTGTTTATGAACATCCATGTTTGTTCTAGTGTTTATATATATATGTAATGTATGCAACAGTAAAATTAATTACAGTTCCCATGTTTGTTCGACTCCCACTTAGAGTCCCGTTCCTGAAAGCTCTCTTCCCTCCCCTTCCTCCCCCCTCGCCCCCCTCCCCCCCCCCCCAACCATCTCTCTTTTTCCTTCTGCCCCTCCCTCCCTTTTGCTTCGCCACCACTTTCCTCAGGTCCAAGATCTGCTGGATAAGAAGGGGCTAGCAGGGATTGTCGACCAATCCATGGGCATTTACCCTGAAAAGGAGGTCACCAGCGTGCTCACCCTGGCCTTCAAATGCACGGACATTAAGAACCCTGCTGCCCGGCCGTCCATGAACCGTGTGGTAACCGAGTTGGAGTCAGTGTTAGAGCCTGAGCGAGTGCTCCCGGTTACATCGGCGGTAACACGGCAAATACACCACCAACATGATATAAGCTTGTCCCGAGGAGTCGTGGACGAGAGGGTTACAGAGGCGCACAATGAAAATGTGCAAGATATTGGGGAGTCGAATAATGTGACAGTAATGGAAGAGATAAGCGGAGAGGTACGGCAAGGTCATGATGATTTCAGGGAGGGGGGTGTTATAGGAGAGGGTGGAAGCGTGGAGCTGTCGTTTGATTGGAATTTGCAAGAGGGAGGCAGTGGTGGGTTGGGGCGAGATAGGAGAAACGCTTCCATGGTGGGGGATCCGGATAGGCCAAGCAGGTTTTCATTTCGAGGTCAAGCATTTGAAGATTCTGATAGGGAGTTTGATGAGAGTGGTGTACTTAGCTATGGGCCAATCAATCCTGCCTAGATGTATAGCTGGTTCCTTCAGTTTTTGTTTTGTACGTGTATCGTATGATATCGAGTGGCTCCACTTCTATATCGAGGAGGTGTTGCGCGGAAGAGCTTTCGCGGAGCGGAGCGATGCCTCTCAGCGGAACCAGTTTTGCGGGCACAGTGAACTCGTTCCGCAGGGTAGTTGGGGTTTGGTCGGTGGTGTGGTGTAGGGGCTAGAGGGGGAAACTCCCCCCACCGACGGATTCGACCCAGGGGAGGCATGCAGGCAGGCACACACACACCCTGGGGGAGGGAGGCAGGCATTCAGCCAAGGGAGGGATGTTCGCGAAAAACGAATCCGGCCATTATCTTCAATACTCAGATTTTTTCCGAGCGTTTTTTCAGGTGTAATCAACCTGGACTCTCTCAACGTTGATTGGTCGTGGCTATTTAGTCACATTTCTCACGCTGGTCGAACTCAATAGGAAGTGACAAAAACAAAACCATCCACTTTACCCTTCCGACTTGGATATATGTACGGAAATTAAGGTAGTAAGAGAATGAAGCCAATATAATTCACTTGGTAGTGCTCAGTAGCGCAACCGACCGTTAAACAACGCTACCCGAAAGCACTAGACGACGCTACCGAGACCTATTCGGGCATGGCAGAAAAAAAAAAACACCTAGGGAACCTGGATGCATTTTCGAGAGGGGTCAGCCCTAAACACGGGGATGGGCATTGTTTTTAGGGTTGATGCCTCCCGAGTCGCATCCCTTTCCGAGGTGGGCATTATTTTTATTGTCAAGTGGGTTGCAATATGTTTTCCAGAATATTGGGAGGCTTTCGGTATTTAGGGTTGATCCTTCCCTGAAATCATATAGGTTTGCTACGGGCATTATATTTATAATTTTGCAAGTGCTAGAATTCCCCCTTTAAGTGACTGTATAGAAATATGAGCCGAAATAGCTTTACACTATATCGAGAAACTGTGTTTCTGTTGGTAATTACACCTGAGAACGCGCTCAGGCAAAATCTGAGTATCGGAGATAATGGCCGAAACGGATCTCATGCAACGTGACAAACTTGGGGGACATGTTCCAGCGCAGTCCGTCGTGGCTGACGGTCAGCTTGACGGCAGGTTTGTTCCGTTTCCTTCAACGCCAATGGCTGAAAAATCTGTTGGACGGAGTCAAACGGTTCCAGTCGAAAATAATCAGATTCCGACTCAATTCGCTTGGAATTTGACGCGATCAGTTTGTCGTTCGTGGGGGTATGGTACATTCCGTCAATGTGGACCCTCCACCATGCTACAGAGCACTTTATCTCACGGAAAAAAGCAGTACCGCGAAGAATGTAGTTTTACCGAAAAACCTGACGGCCGCCATAGGAGTTCTCCCTTATTGCGACTGCACAAACTACTACCGTATCCTGTTGCGACTGCCCTGTGCAAATTAGGAACTTGACACTAGAGGCTCTCCATTGCCGTAGTTTTTTGGGTTGCGAAGCAACCCTTTACAATCGATTTTGACAAATTTTCTTTCCATGTTTTTTATTTAACACGAAAATAAAATTCGTAAGCTACAGTACCATCCTTCCCATTGTGCATATATTAATTTCTTTTTTATTATAGTAGTTTTTTGCCTATATGCTATACTGTTTGCGTTTTATGTTTTACTGCTTGCCGTTGTTGTGATAATTGCATGTAAAAAATATTACGAATATGAGTAATGAAGTACATACCACGCATGCTTAAATGAATGTAATGCGGCAAGATATATAGATGCATAATACTGATACATGGATGAAAATGCTTTTCCATGAAGCGAAATGCTGAAATGCAACATACGAGATGTCATACAAATGCGTGATAGTTAACGACCCAAAAACTAGGCTACCGCATCCCCTGCCTAGCATGGGGGGGAAGTCAGTAGCAAAGTCTTTGAATAATAAACCAACACATGAAAAAATGCAATCTGTTAACTCTAAAAAAGAGGTTCACACTATCAAATCCAGTTCGAAGTGGCAAACACACGAGTCACTGAGTGCGCCAATGAACCAATGAGAAATGATAGAAATGAACCCCTTTTTTTAAATTGACAGACATGCATTAATATTGCAATGATCAATGAGATGAATGCACTCTCACAATCAAACACATTCACACAATCAAAAGCACAAACAGCAGCAAACCCAGCCAAAACACGCGATAATAAATAACATGCAAATCAACATTAAATGGACAACATGACAAGATAAATCCTGAAAGTGACCGATACACATTTTCCAGATTCAAATCCCCTTCCTGAGCAGCAAGACTCCTGAGAAACGGGTTTAGAATGTAGAAAGGAGGAACGAAAGAAATAGTCGGTACAAAAAAAAAACAGAAAAGGAAATGAGGTGTGATGAAATGACGAGATGCAGGAATAACCAAGAAACGAATGAAACAATACAAGGGCTAAGAAAAACGCCGTGAGCATTGAAAGGTTAGAGCCGACAAATAGAAAGGAGGTACAGAGGCATAAAACGAAAGTAAGGAACGGGAACAGAGGGAAAACACATAAGAGCTAGGTCGTACGGAATGAACGAACGAAGGAGGACATGAAGACCATGCAAGAGGATGTGAAACCGAAAATTAGAGAAAATAGGATGTGAGATGACGGACTGAAAGAAGAAGAGAAGAGATTAGGAAGAAATACGAACTGGAATATCTAAATAAAAAAACGGAATATGTAAACGGAGAATGCGCAGGACGCTGAGTGTCATCATCGGCATCTAAGAATAGAGGAAGTAAAGCTTACCTAAGAAGCTGTAGGTGAGAGTGGCGGCCTCTCCCTTAGCGCGCCTGGCACGAGCAAAAAGTCACCAACGCGCCAAGCACAAGCAGAACGATTCCAGCAAGAAGTTACAAGAGGGAAAACAAAAGAGAAACACGGACGGAGAGAAAATGAGAAGAGAGATAACAATAGCGGATGGAGAGAGAAGGAAAGGAGAAAGACATACGGAACCTTGAATATGCAACAAAACAGGAGTAACAAGGTAGCAAAAACGAAGGCATGATACAAAAAAACGGAAAGGTAGTCTTCACGTGACGAAGGCATGATCTCGAGTTAACTTTCTCCTAGTCAACTTAAGTAGGCTAACGATAGTCTTAACAAACTAGCAACACTTGCTACTCCTACTCTTCCAGCTGCTGCTACTCTCTTACCTAGAAACTGGAATAGCGTGACAGACAGGAGTGGTTGGAGAAGAAGCAGAGGAAAGGAAAAGAAGGAACGTGAAAAACCTAACCACCTCATTCGTCGCGTAAAAGTGATTTGTTAAAAATACGAATGAATATTGACGGGTTTAACTCAATGGTTGAGTTTGGCATCAGAATCGGAAGGTTGCAGGATCGATTCTGGTAGACGAATTTAACCCACAGAAAAGTTTGTTGTTAAATCTTAATGAAGATTGTTTAGTTTTTGAACATCAAATACAACGTATACAACTAGACAAATAGCTTCGCAACCCTAGGTCGACTTTGTCGCCTCTTGTTTTCATTGCCTTAGGTTGAAGTATGACAATGCCTGAGAGGGCCGTGGTACCAGGTGTTAAGTAGGAGAAGTCTTTCTCGTCACCTAGTTAATGGTATTTAACTTAAACTAGCGGGGCCGATTTCGTGTCTTTCCGCGTTTCTCGCGTTCATCGCTTTTCCCGTATTTAACCCTGTTTTCTTCCCAGTCTCTCCCACTGGCTTACCATGAGGTCCCCGCGCCGCTTCATTTGCGTTCCGTCGCTTATTCTGCTATTTCTTCTCGCTCATACCTCCATTTTCGTTTCCGCTGACGGATCTCCTTCAGGCGCTAGCCAGAATCCGTCCGAGAACTTCGATTTCCCCACCTTTAGCGCGGATGACGAGGAACTCATTATGGCGTACGAGAGGAAGTTCGCAGCCAGATCCGGCGAGGAGGAGGTGTCGTACGAGCAAGCGTATCATCTGGGAGAGAAACTGAGAGCTCGCGGTGTGACTGCAGCGGATGTGCTACAAAGTGAAGGCGATGTTTTGGCGGGAAAGGTTCAAGAGGAGGGAGGCGCGCAGACGGAATCCGTAAATGACGACGTTGCCCGTCAAGGTAACTTAATGTCTGATGTTACTTCACCTGCCGCATCTCCCGGGTATTCCTGTCTTGTTCCCACTCATGACTGCTTTGAAGATCTCGAAGCGCGTTTCTGCTTCCGCTTTTCTGTTTTCGTGTCTTCTTCGTTCCAACGTCTTCTGTTTTAGGTTACTAAGAAAATGACCCACTTCCCTGTTTTCGTGGCTGCTCGTTCCGCCAATATTGTCTTTCTGTTTTCCTTCTCTCTAGTTGTCCCATTAGCCCATCTGTTTCCCATTCCTAACTCCATGCATTCCCCGTGCTTTTTCTTTTCCCTCCCTTCCATTCTTCCGCCAGCAGAGTTTCCGCGGAGAACTCTCTCTGCAACTTCCGCCTCCCCCTCCGCCTCCGCTTCCGCTTCCCCTGATCAGTCCGCGCTCGCGACCCAAACCATCGCGCGTCTTCGCTCGCTCGGCTTCCGAACCTTCGCGTCCGCTCTGGAGAAAACGGACGTTCTCTCCGCACTCCCTTCGACCGTCGCGCGCCCTGGGGGGTTCTCCCTCCTCGTCCCCTCGGACCGCGCGTTCCTTCATCTCCCGCAAGCCGTACAGAAGCTATTAAGAGGCCCGGACGCGAAAGCCGTACTTAAGAACCTCATTCTATACCACATTTTTCAGCCGCGGATTAATTTTAACTACTTTTTGAAGCTCAGAGGACGGCGCGTGAAGACGCTGCTTAGAGACCAGACTCTGACCGTTGGATTCGGGCGCTCCGGCTTTCCCGCAGCGCCGACAGTCGCGGGAGGGGAGTCTCTTTGGTTTGCTCCCTCTGACGGCGGAAAGCGGGTTGCGGATAGCAGCAGCGCCAGGCCCGCTGGTGGCGGTAGCGCGGGTACCGTTGTGATTGTAAAAGATGTTGCTTATAACGGGCTCGCGATCTGCCAGGCTGTCAGCGTGGTGCTCGTTCCGCCGTTGGATCTCCTTTCGCCTCCCAACGCATTACCCTCCGCCGCCACCACCACCACCACCGCGACTAAGGCTAAGAACGCGCCTCCGGTTTCCAAAACCAAGTCGCCCGCCAACGGCGGAAGTGGAGGGAAGATTCGTCCGCCTCCATTGAAGAAAAACGTCGTCGAATCCGCCTCCACGTTCGGCGGCAGAATTGCAGCCGCGGCAGGTGCGGGGAAGCGCGGAAATGCAGCGCCAGTGGCCGTGCCGAGTCCCGTTATCCGACCGTCTTCCATAACGTTAACCCCGCAGCAGCAGGTGCTCTACTGGCTGTCACGCCACGGGCTGGGCCGCACCGCCGCGAATCTCGCGCAGTCCGGCGTGCTGGATCTCGCGACGGCGGATAACCCGGTTACCGTTCTCGCGCCAACGCAGCTCGCGTATCGCTTCCTCCCCTGGACGGTCCGGCAGCTGTTCTTCACCGCGTCGGGGGAACAGGTGTTACCGCGGCTGATGAAATACCACGTTATAACGGAGCGGCTTACAGTGAAGCAGCTGCGGTCGGCCGGGAATAACAAGTATCCGACCCTGTTGGATGAACACCCCGTTGATACGAAAGTAGGCTCGACATTTGTCCGTTTCTCTCCCGAGCCTCCGGATTACGCCGCCGCGACCATCATCCCCGGGTCGTCCTTCAGCAACGGCATCGCGACCGTCCACGTCAGCAGCTCCGTGCTCATCCCGCCGTACGATCTCCTCTCCGTCCCAGAGCCTCCCACCCCCGCGCCCGTCCCCCCGCCGCTCGGCCCCGCGCCCGGCCCCGGCCCCTCCCCCGCCCCCGCAGCAGCGGGGACCCAAGCGCTAGATATGGTGGGGGACTTGGAGGCGGAAGGGGGGAGTTTCTGGGAAGAGGCTAGACTCAGGGCTTCCGCTCCCGTTCCCCCTCCCCCTCGCCCTCCGCTTCCCCTGCCGCCGCCCCCGCCCACGGGCGGGTTCGTCCCGAAGCGCCAGCTAATCTCGTTTGACGACGCGCGCGGGGAGCCGTACAGCGCCGCGCCTCCCCCCATGGCGGAGCCTCATAGCACCGCGCCTCCCCCCATTGCCGTGGACTTGGCGCAGGAAGGGGAAGGGGAAGGGGAGGGGGAAGGTGAAGGGGAAGGGGAGGGGGAACGAGAAGCGGACGAGGTTGACGAGGTTCGGGAAGCGGCGCTAGAGACAGCAGCGGGTTCGGAGGGGAGGGAGGTGTACGGCAAACCTGGTTCCGAATCAGGTGCTTCCTCAGGTGCTGCCTCAGGTGTTTCTTCAGGTGCCAGGCGTGTGCTTCCTGAGCTATCACTCAGCGCCCGCCAGCAGACCATAGACGAGCTAGCAAAGCGCGGCCTCACTGTACTCGCTAAGAACCTCGCCGCTACAAGGATACTAGACTCCCTATCCGGCCCCGCTACACTCCTCGCGCCCACCAACCTAGCCTTCTGGACCCTCCCTCTTCCCATTAAAGCCCTCCTGATGGGTCCCAAGGCGGACTTAGTTCTTAGAAACCTCGTGGCCTATCACATCCTGCCACGTGGCCGCGTGTCGTCGAAGCAGTTTGAGGCGGGGATAGAGGCGGCGGGGATCGAGGGGTATGAGATATTTGACACGCTGCTGGAGGGGACCAGTGTGAAGGCGGAGCACGTGGGGAAGGCCCTCGCCTTCTCGCCGCTGCCCATGGTGCCCCTGCTGAGCCGAGTGGCTCGGGTTGTCGCGTCGGATATTAATACCGGAGCTGATGCTGCTGCTAACGAAGCTGATAGTAGCGGGGATGATGCTGGTAGCGGGGATGCTGGTAGCGGGGACGGAATCACGATCCATGTGATCAACCGAGTGCTCATTCCGCCGGTCAAAGTGCTGCTAGCGCCCTTCGATTCCCCCTCCTCCTCCTCCTCCTCCTCCTCCTCCTCCTCCTCCTCCTCCGCCGTCTCCGCTTCCTCCTCCCCTACAGGCGTAGCAACAGCAGCAGCAGTTAACCCTTTCAGTGCGGCATATGCTGCTTCGGCCCAATCCATGGTCTTACCAATGGGTGAGTCGTGTCTCAGTAGTTGTCTGTTCAATGGACTCAAAGAGCCATTCCATCGTGTTGTTCATTCCTATGAGTGACTCACATGTCCGTTGTTGTTGATTGTTACTCTTCATCGTTGCTGAATATTTTACCTGTTCCTATTCACTGCTCGTTTTCCCTTCCCCAAGGCCATCGTCTTTCCACCTTTCCCTCCATCATCCCCTTTTCCTCTGACCATATCCCTCCACCCCTCCCATCCCCTCCTGCACCTTTCACCCTGCACCAAGTCTTATGACGTGCTCTCATCTTACTGCTGCCCTCCCCCTCTTCATGCACTCCTCTCTCCACTCCTCGCTGCTCCCTCACTAAATCCCATCCTTTCATCATCGCTTTCCTTCTTGCTTCCTCCCTCTCCCCCTTCCCTCCTTCTCCACCCCCTGCCCTCATTCCCTGCCCTAATTCCTTTCCAGTCGTAACCTCTCCAAGCGAACCCCCTCCCCCACCTCCCTCACCTCCCTCGCCGCCCCCTCCTCCTGCGGCGGACGACACCATAATGAGCCGCCTGCGCCTCTTCGGGTGCACCAAGACGGCCGACATGATCGTACGCTCCGGCTTCATCGCGCTCCTCACCACCGCCACATCCCCCAACGTCACCTTCTTTGCTCCCACTGACGACGCGCACGCCCGCATCCCCGCACCCGTGAAGCAGCTTATCACAGACAACGGCGCTGCGGCCGAGACGCTTCTCCTGAGCTACCAGGGGGTTTTCGGGATTCAGACCTACGCGGAGCTGACTAACAAGTCGACCGGGTCGCTCCCAACGCTGTTGACGGATATGTCTGTCACGCTGACCAAGACCCGCTGCCCGTACTTCAAGAGGTTTTACCGGGAGCCGGGGTGTAAGGAGGAGGTTTCCCTGTTTTCGGAGCCGCCTATGAGTTACCCTGCTGTGAAGATCGTTCGGCCGAATATAATCTATATTCAGGAGCCGCGGAACATTACAAGCTCGGGGCAGAATATAACGATTATTGTGCAGACGCTTGTTCATATCTCGTCGGATTTCTTTATTCCGGATATGGCGCTGCTGGTTCCTGGTGCTGTGCCTCCTGCTCCTCCTCCAGACTCCCCCCCTCCTCCCCCTTTCCCTCCCCCCTCCCCGCCTCCCTCCCCTCCTCCTCCCCCTTCCCCCCCTCCACCATAGCCACCACCAGATGAGTAGTGATCATAATGTGGTCCGAATTGGAATAGGAACTCTCGTCTCAGGCAAGACTGTGTTTGAGGAGGGTGCATGTTGGTGTCGCGGTGAGGAGAGGATGCTTCAAGCGTAACATACCGTATGAATATGCCAAGGGTGTCATTGAATATGCACACTGCACTTGCACTGTAGCTGGCTTTGTGGTAGCGAGGAGAGCATGTGTGATCTATGAGATGCTGCTGACACAGTAATTGTATGGGAATGGGAATGGATGACAGGTAGTGGCAATAATCAATGTATGCATTGATTGTCATTGGTAATCCAGGTGGTTCGCGGAGTCCATACGCTGAAGTTTTGTACAAAAGCGACCAAAACATTATTGAAACGGATCAGATTGTCGAACTACCCTTTCTGACCGACCCTGGGCCTGATCAATGACCTGCGACGCGGCCAGACAAGGCCAGCCTAGACATTGCGCAAGCCAAGCGTAATCCTTAGGGCGTGGCTCCATTTGCTTTTTGACGGTTCGAGCCGTCAGCGAAACCGGTTTTCTGCTTTCGACAGAGCTCGCATAGTCTCTCATTTGACAACGTGTTCAACGCATAATCCTGTTTATTTCATTTTCCACGCTCCAATACGAAAATATTATGCGGTCTCGTTTCCCAGGGCTGGGCTGAGCGGGTCCTGAAAACCGAACATGTATTCGGAAAACACTAATGTGCACCTGTAATTGCTCTACATTTTTTTTTTCCTGGTCGGCGTGGTACTTCGCTGATTGTTTCGAGCAGATCATCCCAAACCAGCTTCGTTAAGTTCCGTAAAATCATCTTAGACTGTTCCCAACAGCGAATCTGATCCACACAGCTCTGACCGAGCCAGCGTTATCCCTACCTCATCAACGAAGCCGCACCTCACTCCGAACCTCTCGCCCCAGGTACGGTGCCTCCCTCAGCTGTTTCTCCATACCAAACCACCTTGTTTCTACCTGTGCAGTGTGCAGGGACTTCCGTCAGTCCCATCAGTGCGAATCACTCGAGGCGTCCATGTAAAAGAGCCATCTCCAGTCTTCACCTTCCAATGGTTCAGTACGTTTTCGGACGGTCCGTAAAGATGTAGGAGAAGCTAAGTAGGTTTACGTGCTCAGAACTTGTTGCGAGATGTTACACCTTACCATTTACTATTATCTTTCCAAGATCTCCCTGTAGGGGGCACTACCTGCCAGGCTGCCATGTCTCACTGAACACTATAGTAGGGTTTCCTGCATCTCGTCACCCTGTACGTCTAGTAGGGTCTTACTAGACTGTACTTAACTAGATGTGTACTAACTAAGGGAGCGGACAATCGAGAAGCGTTACTTGCAGCTTAGACTGTGCAGGACGGAAATGGCGGCAACAACGCACAGACTAAGCGTTAGGTGGTCTCTGCTCAATCAGACACAATTTGCTCAGTGATAGAACCACTCGAGTTTCAAATTATTCTAACGCTCGAGTCTAGTTATTTATTTATTTCCCAGTTGTCAGCATTTTCAAGAACCACTCACCCGTCAATAGCTGCCACTTGTAACACCGTCTGATTGCCTCTCTGCAAATCGCGGCCGCAGCCGATCATGAAGGCGTTAGCATGGGAGGAGGCTCGGAACGCCTGAGCGACAACAATGTGCGAGGAATAGGGAACTCATCTGCCAACGAGACGGCGACACGTGGCAGCAGCCTCCGGGATTCCCGGAAAGCACACTCCGGGAGCGGCCAATCACCCAGGACAATCTTCGGGGGAGGTGGAGAGGGATCGTCGACGAGTCGCGCGAGTAACGACTCTGACAGCCACGCGTCGTCTAGCCAGCATTCTACTTTCGAGCCGCCTCTAAGATCGTCGACGAGTCGCACGAGCAACGATTTCAATAGCCACGTGGCGTCCAGTCAGCATCCCCAGATGGTGCGGGAAGAGCGGCGGGGAAGAGGACGAGACGACGGCTGGGATGACGACAGCGGAGGCGGCAGCAGAACAGGAAACGGTTCTTTACCTCGGGATCGCTCTCGCGGCAGCAGCAGCGAGGAGACGCCGCCGTGCCGGCCGTCGACTTCTGGCGGCGTCCGCCGGCCGAGGCGGCCGGAGGACGGCGGCGCGGCGATGAGTCCGAGAAGCGGCAGCAGCAGTCGCGCTCCGGATTGGCAGGCGTCGTCGTCGTCGTCGTCGGGTGCTCCGCCGCAACGGCCGGCGACTAGTGGCGGCCGGCGGATGCCATCCCGTCCAGGTCCGTCAGCTGACGATGACGTAGACGGAGTCAGCGGGACGAGCGGAGATTGGCCGCCGCGGAGGTTAGTCGGAAGCGCGAGTACGAAAGGCGGAGGGGGAGGGTACGGGGATGAGGCGCCGGGTTTGCCGCACTCGGGTTCTTACTCCTCCGGGTATCGCGGGCAGGGCTCGCCGCCGCGTCGCGCGTTCCACAAGTCGCAGTCCGCGAAGATCAATCTTTCAAACTCCGGAGCCGCGGTGCGCGAAGCGGACCGCGACCGCGATAGGGATAGGGACAGGGACCGCGAACGAGGGGGTTATAGGGACCGAGAACGGGAAATGCGAGACCACGGAAGCAGCTTTAGGGACCGAGACAGAGTTAGGTACTTAGCGGAGGGCGACGCGGAGGGCGACTTACCTCTAATGTCTCCTTCTAAGGAGCGCGCCGTGAGTCGCTGGGTGGAAGATTCACTATGCGAGTTAGAAGGTGGTGAGCTGGGGGATGGTATAGATTCCCCGGGAAAGGATTCGTCTTCTTCGTCCTCCCGCCGCCGCGCGTCCGGCACGCGGCGCGACGAGTACGGCGCGGACGGGGATTACGACGAGCGATCGAGCGGCAGCGGAAGGCGCGTGAATCCGCGCGAGCGAGACGGGGGAGGGGGGTATGAAGGCTCCCCGCGCACGCCCCCCCCGCGGTCGGCGTCCCGCGGCGGGGGGCGGAACGCGGACGAGGCGGTCACTCCGGGGAGGTCCCACCTCAGGCCGGTGGATTCCGCTGGCCGCCCGCCCTCCCGCGGAGGGCCGGGGAGCCTTGATCCGTCGCTGAGCGGGCGCGCGCGGAGCTTCGGGCGGCGCAGCTCGGCGGAAGGCGGAGCGGAATTGCGCCCGCGCACGCCGTCCGGAGCGGAGCTGCTCGCGCGGCCGGGGACGGCGGAGGGGAGGCGCCCGCGGACGGCGGACGTGAACTCCGCGTATGGGCGCCCGGGCGTCCCGCGGAGCATGTCCACCGCGGAAGCCGCACTGGCAGGGCCGGGGGGGTCCCTGAAGGAGCGCGACCGGGGGGGGGATGGCGGAAGGATGCGCACAGTCCCCCGCTCCGCCTCCGAAGTTATGCCTGAGGACCTGGGCGGAGGCGGAGGGGGCGGGGGCGGCGCGCGCAGGGCACCTCTGAGATCCCCCAGTGGTAGTCTGCGGTCTAACTCGGTATCTAAAGACTATGAGGATGAACGGGGCTGGAGCGGGGGCGGCGGGGGACATGGGAGCCAGGACCGTCCGTATACCTCGCATGGGTATGGGCGGCGGAGGGAGGAGTACGGGGGAGACGAGAGGGGGGGCGGAGGGGGGAGATACGAAGGGGAGAATCATTTGAACGAGGAGCATAGGCGATTAGCTATGGAGCTTGAGAGAGAAAGGGAGGAGAGGAGGAAGCTACAGGAGGAGTTGAAGAGAATGGAGAGGGAGGTTAAGGAGAAGGATGATAGGAAGAGGACGGATAAGGAGAGGAGGACGATGGAGAAGGAGAGATTAGTTGCTGACGTGGCGGCTTTGAAGCTGCCCGTGGACCGGATTGCAGTGGAGGAAAAGAAACCTGCCCGGAGAGGAATCTTCTCGGTTTTTTCCAGCCGCCCAAAAACGCCAGATGTGGACAAAGCGGCGGGTGTAGCGCAGGGGAACACTGTAGCAGTGGTGCCGCAACCGTCACCAGGGGCTAGGCCGGTCACACCGGAAGGGTTACAAGCCAGGCTGACCAGAAAAAACAGAGAGGTGATTCGGGCAGCAAGAAAAGAAGCGGCAGCAGCGGGAGGAGGGGGTGGGGGAGGGGGGGGAGTTGGGGTAGGCGGAGGGGGAGGGGGAGGGAGCGCGGATCAGGGGGGGAGTGTGAATATATTGAAGCGGCCTTTAGCGGATGTTAAGGAGGCTTATAAGGTGGATAAAAACGAGCTGGGGCGAGGGAGGTTTGGGGTGATCCGGGGGTGCATGTGCCGCGTTTCCGGGGAGCGATTCGCGTGCAAGTCCATCAGCAAAAGCATGCTGCAGGTATGTGGGGTGTTGGGGGATTGGGGGGAGGGGGGAGGGGGGAGAGGAGGGGAGAAGAGAAAAGTGGTTAGCTGGGTGTAAGGGGAATGCTACAGTTATGAGGAATGTGAGGGGGATGTCGTTTGAGTCAGTGCATTGCTGTGTGTGTGCATGGGGATGAGCAGGGGGTGTGTGGGGCCGCGTTTTATTAAGTAAATTGTTTGCAAGTCGATTAGCGAGGGCATGCTGCAGGTGTGTGGAGTATTGGGGGAGGGGGACATGGGGAGGGGGAGAGGGGAAGAGAGACAGGAGGGGGGAGGTGGAGGAAGGGGTGGGGGGAGAGGAGAGGGGAAGGGAGACAGGGAGAAGGGGAGAGGGGCAGGGGGATAAGAGGGGGGGGGGGGGGGGGGAGGAGGGGAAGGCGGAGAGTGGAAGGAGGACAGGGAGAGGGGGAGATGGGGAGGGTAAGAGAAGGAGGGGAAGAGGCGGAGGAGAGGGATGGGGTATACAAGGTGGTAAAGTGCTTGCTGCAGTTGAGGGGCTTATTTCGGTGTGTGTGAGTAGAGGAGGAAACGGATAGGAGAGGGGGCGAGGGAGAGAGGGAGGGGAGTGTGGGTGGGTGAGTGGTCGAGATAAGGGGCACCCTAGCCCGTTCCTTCCCCCTTCCCTTTCCCCATCGCATTGCCCTTCCCTCCTCTCCTTTCCCTTCCGCTTGCTCATCCCAACAGTGCCAGCAGCAGGACATAGAGGACGGGCGAAAGGAGGTAGCGGTGATGGAGATGCTCCAGGGGCATCCCAGCATTGACATGGGGACTCACTCTTGCTGCCTTCATCCCATTCCCACTCGCATCTCCCACTTCCCATCCCCATCCCCATCCCCATCCCCATCCCCATCCCCATCCCCATCCCATTCATCCCAACAGTGCCAGCAGGACATAGAGGACGTGCGAAGGGAGGTGGCGGTGATGGAGATGCTCAAGGGGCATCCCAGCATTGTCAATCTACGCAACGCCTTTGAGGACGCACAGGTGAGGGTGAAAGGGGTGGGGGGCAGAAAGGCGGACAGAGGGATGGGCAGAGCGATGGGCAGAGGGGTGGGCAGGCGAGACGTTCAGGGCAGGGGGGGAATGGCAGGAGGTGGCGGTGATGGAGATGCTCAAGGGGCATCCCAGCATTGTCAACCTGCGCAACGTGTTTGAAGACGCTCAGGTGAGGAAGGAGGGGGAGGGCGCGAAGGGGCAGGAGGGGAGGGACGTGCAGGGGAAGAGAGGCGGAAGTTGACGGCTCAGGTCTGGTTCTTCCTTACCACCCCCTACCACCCCTCACCACCCCATCACTCCTTACCACCCCTCACCACCCCATCACTCCTTACCACCCCTCACCACCCCTCACCACCCCCCAGGACGTACATCTGATCATGGAGCCCTGCGAGGCTCGGAGCTCATACACCCAACCCTACACCACCCCTCACCACTTCCCACCACCCCATCCTACCCATCCCCACTGCACTCCACCATCCCCCCAGGACGTGCATCTGATCATGGAGCTCTGCGAGGGTGGAGAGCTCTTCGATCGCATCAAGCTGCGGGGAAAGTTCCCGGAAGGCGACGCGGCGCGGGTGATTCGCACGGTGGTGCTGGTGCTGCGGCACTGCCACGGGGCGGGCATCATGCACCGCGACTTAAAGCCCGAGAACATCCTTCTCGTGTCGAACCAGAGCGATACCGATCTGAAAGTCATTGACTGGGGTGTGGCTACCTTCTTCCAGAAAGGTGAGCTCTCTTGGTGATGTGGCGGTTTGTTTTGAGACGTCTCAAAAATAACCTCATTACACTCGACCGGGGGGGTGGGGGGGTGGCCGGGTGTTTTTGAGAATTCTCAAAAATGATGCTACGGGCAGCCGCTGGCTTTGCCACCCTGCACGGTCTTCCAGAAAGGTGAGCTCTTGCGGTTGGCTTTGTGAGACATCTCCAAAATTGACTCTCCTCTATGACAGTCTTCTTTGACTGGTGCCCTTCTTTGACTGGTGCCCTACATGCTACTGTGCTTGTGATGTGGCTATGCCGTGTGGCCTGCGCGCCTGCCCCCTTTATGAGCATCCACCCACCACGAATGCCATCGGCCAAACCAAACGTCCCACCTCCCCCAGGCAAGCCGTGCACGGACATAGCGGGCAGCCGCTGCTACCTCGCGCCAGAAGTTGTCGCCAACCCCTCCACCGCTCACCCGTCCCCCAGGCAAGCCATATACGGACATGGCAGGCAGCCGCTACTACCTGGCCCCGGAGGTCCTGGCAGAGAAATAAGGCCCAGAGGCGGACGTTTGGAGCGCGGGGGTGGTGCTTGCTTTCCATCCTGCCGTGCGATCCCCTCTTTCCCTCCAACCCCCCATTCCCCAGGCAAGCCGTGCACGGACATAGCGGGCAGCCCCTACTACCTGGCCCCTGAAGTTTTAGCAGAGAAGTACGGCCCAGAGGCAGGCAGACATCTGTAGCGCGGGGGTGGTGCTTTCCATCCTGCTGTGCTGTGCTGTGCTCGTGGTCATGCTGTTTTCCCTCCCTTTCCCGTCCCCAGGCAAGCCGTGCACGGACATGGCGGGGAGCTGCTACTACCTCGCTCCAGAGGTTCTTGCTGAGAAGTACGGCCCAGAGGCGGATATTTGGAGTGCGGGGGTGGTGCTCTACATCCTGCTGTGCGGCCTGCCGCCCTTCTGGGGTACCACCAACGATGCCATCTTTGAGGCACCAGCTACCAGCAATACAACCTTCGAGATGCTTCAATGCCTCCCTCCCTCTCCCTTTCCCCTTCCCTCCCTCCCTCTCTCCCCTCACAACCCCCTTTCCTCCCCAGGCAAGCCGTGCACAGACATGGCAGGTAGCCCGTATTACTTGGCTCCAGAGGTCCTGGCTGAAAAGTACGGCCCGGAGGCAGACAGTTGGAGGTGACTTTTGAGTCGACTCAAAAGTACGGCCCGGAGGCAGACATCTGGAGGTGACTTTTGAGTCGACTCAAAAGTACGGCCCGGAGGCAGACATCTGGAGGTGACTTTTGAGTCGACTCAAAAGTACGGCCCGGAGGCAGACATCTGGAGGTGACTTTTGAGTCGACTCAAAAGTACGGCCCAGAGGCAGACATCTGGTGGTGACTTTTGAGTCGACTCAAAAGTACGGCCCGGAGGCAGACATCTGGAGGTGACTTTTGAGTCGACTCAAAAGTACGGCCCGGAGGCAGACATCTGGAGGTGAATTTTGAGTCGACTCAAAAGTACGGCCCGGAGGCAGACATCTGGAGGTGACTTTTGAGTCAACTCAAAAGTACGGCCCGGAGGCAGACATCTGGAGGTGACCTTTGAGTCGACTCAAAAGTACGGCCCGGAGGCAGACATCTAGTGGTGACTTTTGAGTCGACTCAAAAGTACGGCCCGGAGGCAGACATCTGGAGTGCCGGAGTGGTGCTCTACATCCTGCTGTGGCCTGCCGCCCTTCTGGGGCACCACCAACGATGCCATCTTTGAGGCCATCAAGCAGGCCACTCTGAACCTCGTGAGGCTCTCCCGTCTCAACCCCTCTCTCCCCCCTCCCTGCTTCACCCCCTCTCCCCTCACAACCCCCTTTCCTCCCCAGGCAAGCCGTGCACGGACATGGCAGGCAGCCCCTACTACCTCGCCCCAGAAGTTTTAGCCGAGAAGTACGGCCCAGAAGCGGACATCTGGAGTGCGGGGGTGGTGCTTTACATCCTGCTGTGCGGCCTGCCGCCCTTCTGGGGCACCACCAACGACGCCATCTTTGAGGCCATCAAGCAGGCGACGCTGAACCTCGTGAGGCCTCCGTGGCCGTCGATCTCGGACGAGGCCAAGGATCTTGTGGTCAGGATGCTCACGCGGAACCCCAAGAAGCGGATCACCGCGGAAGAGATTCTCGGTACGTCTGGGATTTTAAGTTGGGAGGGGGTGATTATTTCAATGTTTATTTGAACGATTGGCTGTTCATTTCAACGTTTGGGTGTTCGTTCCTTTGCTTTTTTTTTTTTCAAAGAATGCATGCTTGTTTCTCTTTTGAAATGCTCATTTGCATGTATGCCCATTTTCAGTACTGGATGGTCATTCGATTGATTCAATGCTCTTTCATCTCATTGAGTGACCAAACATTCCAGTGCTCGTTTCAAATTCATGTGCACTCATCCACATGCATGTATCTCTATCCAAGTGCATTTTGACTTTCTATCCATGTGCATGCATCTGCATGTGAGTGCAAATTGTTGTGTGATCACCCTGATGCACGAAATCCCTGACCATCCCTTGTTGTCACCATCCCTTGTTGTCACTACCCCTCATTGTCACCATCCCCCAATGTCACTATCCCTTATTGTCACCATCCCCCTCTGTCACCATTTCAACAATCCTTCCAGATCACCGGTGGATTCGCGCCAACACCAGCTGACCCTCAGCCTCTCAGTGAAGGCTCGAGGTGCCTTTTGAGTCGACTGAAGAAAGTAGTTGCCATGTTACCACCCCCACTGTCACCATTTCAACAATCCTTCCAGATGATCCGTGGATTCGCACCAACACCAGCTGACCCCAGCCTCTCAGTGAAGGCTCGAGGTGACTGTTGCGTCGAATCAAGGAGGCATTGCTACCACTCCCCCCCACTGTCACCCATCCCACCAATCCTTCCAGATCACCCGTGGATTCGCGCCAACACCAGCTGACCCCAGCCTCAAGACTCTAAATGACGCACGGGTACCAGAGGTTACCGCTAGCCCTGGTTACAGAATCTTGACAAATCAGCATGCTATAGGGATTGGTTAGCAGGAATGACTGGTCTCCCTCGTGAGCAGCAGGTGGTACTGGGCAGTGCAGTGGCACCACCACCGCAGCGCAGCGCAACAGCATCTTCAGTGTTCGGTTGAAACAGAACAAGGGTGGGTTGGTTTAGCTCAGGACAGGATGCAAGTGCATCAAGAAGGCTCTAGCAGAGCGGCTCGTTCTTAGTTGAGTTTTTTCCCATGGGGCTGCCAGACATGTGTGGCTCAGTCTACACTTCCATGTCCCCTTACCCCTCCTCCCTTGACCCTCGCTACCCCCTTGTGCAATTTCCTGATCTTGTGTCACATTCATGAGGGGTTGCGGTAGTTAAATGGTGCACTAAAATTTCAAGAATACACGGAACTTTATTTCTCCTGCTTTAGCTTGGGTGTGGGAGCTGCTGTTACAGAAGTGAGAGAAAGGTTTGCTTCAGCATTGTGGGTTGCTGCAACTGGAGCCTTGCAGATTACTTTTAATGTCAGCTAGCTACCATTGCTGAATGGACCAGCCGATCACACCCAGCAGCAGGTGTACTAGTTGTTGGGAACAATCTTAAGCGCCACTGTCGTGTCGAAACACCAAGGCACAAGCGAAGCAGAGCATATCGAGGCACCAGCGAGTCAACCCTCGGAGGTTGAAGTAACCGCTGGAGGTTACGCGAAGGTCAAAGGTTAGCGACCTTTGACTTGACAAATGCAGCGCGACAGCAAGGACACACAACTGACTCGACATTGAGCAGTTGCCCAAGTCGCACTGTATCGAACTGCAACAGTAAAACAGTTTAATTATACCGTATCTCTTCGTATCCCTTGTACTCTTATATAAACCTTTGTACTTGCTTATTTTAATCAACTTACTTTGCCCTCACATACCAGCGCAAGGTGGTTCATTTAAACGCTTCCGCTACTACATCACTCCACCCATAGTTTAACCCTACCAAAGATCCTAAGGGGCACTCAGGCCAACATGGTATGAGAGCTAGTTAGGGTTAAAAATATTTTTCCTTAACACCTAATACACCAAGAGACATGTCTACCAGAAAGGAGAGGAGCTCCTCCAACGGCTCTCCTGGTACTACTCCTACTCCACCTCCTGCCTCTGGCCTACAGACAGAGGAAGGCACAACAACGAGACCGGCAGCTGGGTCTATTGAAACACTAGCAAACCAAGGCGCGGGCTTCGATCCAAGCATGATGGAGAAGTTCTTCTCCTTCATGTCCTTCTACGAGCAGCATCAGCAAGGAGCACCTGCGCAATCAAACAACAGCAACAACAACAACAACGTGACGCCCATGAGTCTCGATGGCTCATCCTACGCACGCGGGAATCAACAGCAGCAACCTACCTTCGCTCCGTACGAGCCCCAGCGCGGCTCCGTCAGCTTCATGCCACAACCACAACCTGCACCGGGACAAGAGAGAAAGCTGGACGCACTACAAGTTCAGTCGCAGTTCGCGCACGTTCTAAAACTGCAAACGACAAAACCCTTCGACGGGAAGGATTTCTTTACCTGGTCGTTCGAATTCGAGCTGATGATGGAAGGAGCGCAAATCCTTGGCTTCTTCGACGGGTCCCTGCCATACCGAACAAACGGCACACAGTATGAGAAGCAGCAGTACACCTATCAATCGATGATGGCGTACACGATACTACTGAGGAACATCACTCCAACTCAACAACAAAACATACGGTCTTACCGAGGCTACGGCAACTCCGCGGAGCTCGCGTACAATCACTTGAAGAGCCTGTATCAAGCAACAGACGGCGTAAACCAAAGTCGGTTAATGGCGCAGCTGACAACAATCGAAATGAAACCAGGCGAGAAGGGAATGGCGTATATCAGTCGCTGCCGCGAGCTGCGCGACAAGCTTATTCGATGTGGAGGATCGATTTCAGAAGACGCCTTCGTCACGGTTGTCATCGGCGGTCTTGGTCCTCACTAGCGCTCCACTCGCGCCATACTACGAGCCCACGCGAAAAAAATTGAAGCACCACTTTGCGCCGAAATCCACACCGAGCAGCAAGACATGGACATGCAAGAAGAACGACACAAGAGAAAGGCATCAGTGCCCGAATTCGCGTTTCACACTCAACGGCGTCACAACAACAACAACAATCGACCTAGAAACGTACCTCTGTTGTGCCACCTCTGCAAAACTTCAGGACATCCTCGTACGCACTGCCCGAATCAACAACAGTCAACGTCGCCGCAACGCCAACTTCGCCCTTCAAGCAGTCAAGTCGCCTCAACGCAAGCAAATCCGACAACTTCAGTACAAGTCTCAACAACATCGACGGGCCGATGCACCATTTTCTCTACACATGTGCGTTAGTTACCTTTCAAACCCTTACGTTCACTCGATTAATATATTTCCTACCTTATATTTGAGTGAGACCACTAGATTCCGTGTACTATGCGAGATCCGAGCGGTTCCGTTCTCCCAAGCATTTCCACTCTAAGTTCCCATACTGACCGACCTGGCCAATGCACCATTTTCCATATACATATGCATTAGATTCCTTTCGAACCTTATTAACTCACTAGATTTATATATTTCCCACCTTCTGATCGAGTGAGACCGCTAGATTCCCTTTACTTTTTGAGAAATGAGCGTTTGCGTTCTCCCTGGCCCTACTTGCACTATAAGTGCGAAACATCGTCAGCTGCATGGCAAGGCTGAGTGACTCCTGCGTAACTGAGTCACCACCATATTACTCACCAGAAGAACAACTCGACAACAGCACGCCTCGCCGCGAGTCACTTCGACCGAACCCGACGTACGCCGCCATCGCTCAAAGCGAGCCGTCCGGGAAGGATACATGGTTCTTGGACAGTTGCTGCGAACAACATATGTGTTCTTCATGACGTTTCGTTCAACACGAGCACCAATTCAACGAGAAGTCGTCATCACTGTCACCAATAATCAGAACCTGCGGACACGATGACAAGGAGTAGTGCAACTTCAGTCACGACAGACGAATGTCATACTGCAAATGTCCAAAGTCCTAATAGCAGAAGGACTTGGCTACAACTTACTGAGCGTCAGTCAGTTGATGGCGAAAGGCATACATCTGGAACCCGACAGTACCACCCAGGAGTTCAAGCTGTACCACGAGAAGGGCGGCCTCTACATCGAAAAAGTGGTCCTGAAGAACAATGTCTTCGTTCTCGATTTCGTCCCAGACCTGGGCACCGCAGACAGTGATGGGATCGTCACCTTCACATCTTGGACGCACCCGCCGGATCTCGACCCCGACTTCAGTCCGGAAGGCTTTTGGTATTCACATACCATTCCTGAAGCAGAACGAACACGTGCGTTAGTAACAATACAACATTCGGCAGCAGCAGAGGCAACATCGGCAGCAGCAGAGACAACATCGGCAGCAGCAGAGACAACATCGGCAGCAGAAGAGACAACATCGGCAGCAGCAGAGACAACATCGGCAGCAGCAGAGACATTATCGGCAGCAGCAGAGACATCATCGGCAGTAGCAGGAACAACAACAATAGCAACAGCAACGACACCAGTCCTCGTTGACGAAGCACCACCAACACCCGCACAGCAGCTGAATCCGGCTCAATGGGAAGTCCATAGAAGCGCAAACTTCACCGCCAGCTTCTACTCCAACTCCGACGCATATCGACGCTCACCCGGACACCGTGCCTCCTAAGACATCTGGCACGCACGCATGGGACACCCAAGCAACACTGTGTTAAATAACACAATAAGAGCAGGAGTCCTTGACAAGGACTCGTTACTACTACTCGACGGCAGAGAACTTCAACGGGCACGAGGAACATGTCTTACCTGCCCCGAAGCCGACTTACCACATCGGCCGTTCACTCCTCATCACAACCCGAGCGCACCCACGTACGCACCACTCGAAAAGTTGTATAGCGACATCCTGTACAATCGAAAACTAAGACAAGTAATATACAACTACACAATCACCTTCATCGACGCCGCCACCCGTTACGTCTGACATCTAAACCTACCCAGCCGCGACATGGTCCTCGAAGCATTCGCTGCTTGGCTACCAGTAGCAGAAAGAGAGTCGGGCGTAAAGCTGAAAAGCTTCCAGTCTGACAGAGGAGGAGAATACACCTCTCAGCGATTCAAGCAGTACCTGGCGGAAAGGGGAATCAAGCAGCTCCTCTCTCTTCCCTACGCCCATCAGCAGCAAGATGTAGCAGAAAGAATGAACAGGACTCTGCAGAACAGCATGCGCAAACTGTTGCGTGGCATGCGGCTACCCAACCACCAATGGCCTACAGCAATGGACCACATCGTCATGCTGCACAACTTGTTGTCGTCATCATCACTACCGAACAACGCATCACCGCATCTGCTGTGGACAGGAAAACAGGGCAGCACAAAAATGTTACGAGTGTTCGGATGCATGGTACAGTACCGACCCCCAGCAGCACGAGCGGGCCGATTTTCACAACGCGCACAGTGGGGACTACACCTCGGCATCGAAAATAACTACAACGCGTGGAAAATCTTTGACGTCCACTCCAAGGAAACAGTAGCAGCACGCGACGTCATTTTCTACGAACGACTCAAGCTCCAGACATACCTTGCCAACCTGCAAGAGGACCAAGATCCCACAGGTGGTTTTCGTGGTGACCGAGCTTTTGCCTCGGCAGCAGACGAAGCTGGCTGGGACGAGCAGAATGTGGCCAACGCATCAGAAGAAGCTGGACCCCTTCCGTTCTGCTCCGTCGACGTCCCCATGGACGAAGATAACCCTCGCGGAAGTGTCAACGCCGAAACCTTCTACTAGTTTGCCGACAACGGTTACGTAACACCTGCGACAGTCAACACCAACGAAGCAGAACGAGTAGGACCGAATTTCATACCTGATCCAGAAGCAAGAGATGAAGCAGCTTATCCCGAGG